CCCTCAAAATAGGTTTAGGTTGGCTTTTATATGAGTTGAGGCGTCTAGGGGTCGAAATAATCGAGTCCTAGTCGAAAAAGGCCACTTTCCCATCTTGAGTGTCCAGGGCAGCGTAGGGCGCTGGCCCTGGCGCTCAAAAACTAAGGCTACTATAAATTGCGCCACAGTCAGCGCCCCACGCTGCTTGTGGCCCTCAAATTTCACTTTTTGCCTTTTTTTCCCAATTTCGCTCCAATTCGCGCCATTTCGTCCAAAATTGCATCTGAATGATTCCTACACATAGAAATACTAAAATTTAGCACAAATCATTATATTATACATCCGAAATCTACGAGACATGAGCAAAATATGGGGCGATATATATCAAAATATGCATACATTAAGCCGATTATCAGTGTGAAATTACAATTTGAACATATAATTCAACCACAGAAATGACCCCAGTGGGTACCTACAATAATAACGTATGTCTAAGCATGATTTTTAATACGAGTCTCAGCTCAATTTTCTCTAACACATAGAGAATGCACGGATATCAACAGATTATTCAACCATACAGTTCCATAGAATTTGACCAAGTCACAATTCCTACGATGCACGCCTACACGCCCGTCACCTAGCATGTGCGTCACCTCAAAACCAATCACATAACACATAATCCGGGGTTTCATACCCTCGGGACCAAATTTAGAACTGTTACTTACCTCAAACCATGTAATTCTTTATTCCGCTATGCCTTTGCCTCATGAATTGGCCTCCAAACGCCTCGAATCTAGCCACAAATAATTCGATTCAGTCAATAAAATTTATTGGAATTAATTTCATAAGAAAATACTAATTTTCCAATAAAATCCAAAATTTAGCTCAAAATTTGCCGTGGGGCCCACATCTCGGAACCCGACAAAAGTTACAAAATCCGAAATCCCATTATACCACGAGTCTAACCATACCAATTTTACCAAAATCCGACCTCAACTCAACCTCCAAATCTTCAAATCTTATTTTCAAATCCATAAGTTCACATCCCCGATTTATACCTCCAAAACATGTAATCTAGTAGGATTATTCGATGATAATTCAATATTAAGGAGTAGAAATGATCACAAGGTACTTACCTCAAGTTTTCCCGTGAAAACCTCGCTAAAGCTCGGAACCCCTCTGTTTTTTGTACTACCCAGGTGTTTTCGCTTCTGCGAAATTTTTAACCGCACCTGCGGTCTCGTAGATGCGAGAATTCCTTTGCTTCTGCGGCTTCATCGCTTCTGCAGACAAGAAGTTCGCTTCTGCAGATTCGCACATGCGACGTTTTCTTCGCTTCTTCCAAGCCATCTCCCTTCCCTTTTTCCGCTTCTGCGTGCATTGCTTCGCACCTGCGACCACTGTCCCTCTTCATACCTGGCCACTTTTGCGTTGGGATGGTGCGCACATGCGGCTTCGCACCTGCGATCAGACCTCCGCAGGTGCGAAAAAACCAGAAGCAAAATTTCCAGTAGTGGTTTTAAGTCCGAATTTATCTGTTAGCCATCCGAAACTCACCCGAGACTCTCGGGACTTCAACCAAATATACCAACAAGTCCTAAAATACTACACGAACTAAGTCGAGCCTTCAAATCATATCAAACAACTCTAAAACCATGAATCATACCCCAATTCAAGCCTAATGAACTTAGAAACTTCCAATTTCTACAAATGACGCCGAAACCTATCAAATCACGTCCTATTAACCTCAAATTTTGTACACAAGTCATAAATGACATAACAGACCTATTCAAATTTCCATAATCGGATTCTGACCCCGATATCAAAAAGTCAACCCCCGATCAAACTTCCCAAAAATGCAACTTTCGCCATTTCAAGCCTAATTCCACTACGGACCTCCAAATAATTTTTTGGACGCGCTCCTAAGTCCAAAATCACCATACGGAGCTATTGAAATTATCAAAATTCAAATCCGAAGTCGTTTACACATAATTCAATATCCGGTCAACTTTTTTAACCTAACTTTTCAGTTACGAGACTAATGTCTCATTTCACTCTGAAATCCTTCCAGAACCGAACCAACTAACCTGGTGAGTTATAAAACAATGGTAAAGCATAGATTGAGCAGTAAATGAGGTAACGGGGTTATAATACTCAAAACGACCGGCCGGGTCATTACAGGCTGGAACACTTAACATCAGAGAGACATCTAATAACGTCACCTATACCTTGCAAAATTATGTGCCCTCACAACAAGATCAAAGGAGTAAGTCAAATCCACACATTCGAATCAAATGCTCAAATATATTTTAAGGACTCATATAAATCAAAGAAATTTCTCACTCTCACAAATAATAGTGAGAAAATTTAATTTTCCAACAAATTTCCGATAAAGAGTAGGATCAGATAGGGGCTCCCCAGCCTCTACTAAAAGTTTCATATTAGTGTCCAAAGGGCTGGCGACGAACTTGAATTCCAGGTGATCAAATTCAGACAAAAGATCCAGCGCAAACTTCCTTTGGCAAACTATGACACCACCAGGTTCAGCCAGAATCTCCAGACCCAAAACATAATGCAAGTGTCCTAAGTCTTTAATAAGGGTAGCCATTTCCTTATCATCATTTTCAGTTAAAAGAATATCATCAACATAAACAACAACAATCGTAAGATGACCAGTATCAGATTTAATGAACGATGAGTAGTCATCTTTAGAGACTATGTAGCCCAAAGAAATAAGAGAATCACTTAACTTGGAGTACCACTGTCTTGAGCCCTGTTTGAGGCCATATAAAGACTTTCTTAACTTGCAAACCATGCTATTCCCATCCACCACCATACCTTGAGGTATTTTCATGTACACCTCTTCATCTAAATCCCCATGCAAAAAGGCATTATTGACATCTAATTGAAACATGTCCCAACCTTTTTTGACTGCCACAACTATAATAGATCTAATAGTCGTCATCTTAACAACTGGGGAGAAAGTTTCATTATAGTCTATACCTTCTTGTTGCGTATCACCTCTTACAACTAACCGAGCTTTAAATTTATCAATGCTACCACCGGTCTTATATTTTATTTTATACACCCATTTACAACCGATTGGTTTCTTCCCGGGGGGTAAAGGAACCACATCCCAAGTCCCATTAGCCTCAAGAGCCTCAAATTCTTTCAACATTGCCTCCTACCAGGCTGGCTGCAAGGCTGCCTATTGATAAGTTGATGGCTCAAGTACAGTATCTAAGGTGTGAACTAAACTCTGATTACATGAACTTAAGGTGCTGAAGCATACAGATCTTGGAGAAGCGGGGATATAAGTTAAACTGGGAGGAAAATAAGAGGAAAAACTACAAAGGTAATCATTCAAATATGAAGGAGAATGATGAATTCTTGAGGGATATCGAGCTGCTAGGACATGAGAAGGGGAATGGCTAGGTGAAACAGGTGAAAGATGAGATTCAGAAGAAGTTGAGGAAGGAGAAAGAGTAGAAGATTGTATAACAGATTCCTGAGGTGAAGATGATGACCTAGAGGGAGGAAGAGAAGAATCTGAATCTATGTAAGGTGGCAGAGGTGGAAATAAAATTATGGGAGTAGATGAAGCTGAATAAGGAAAGATGTCCTCATGGAAGACGACATCTCTAGAAATAAGAATCTTTTTATCTGAATGTTGCAGTAATTTATAAGCTTTTTTTCTAGGGGGTAGCCTAAAAACATGCAAGCACTAGATCTTGGTGAAAATTTATTTCTTAGGGGTTTGGGAACCACTACGTAGCACAAGCAACCAAAACTTCTCATATGGGAAATCTATTGATCAAATATGTTGCAGTAAAAATACAATCATCCCAGAAATGAATGGGAAGTTTGGACTGATACAATAGGGCTCTTGCTATTTCTAGTAAATGTTTGTGCTTTCTTTCGACAATGCCATTTTGTTGAGGTGTCTAGGGACAAGAAGTTTGTGCATCACACCTTTGGAGAGGAAATATGTTGTGGCTTTACGACTGGTTCCAAGTTCCAAGGCATTATCTATTCTTATTGTTTTGATTTTGATGTTAAATTGGGTTTCAATCATGCAAAAGAAAGATTTAGGACAGACAATGCATTCCTTTTGTGACTAAGAAGACGTGTCCATATATATCTACTATAATCATCCACAATTGACAGGAAATATTTATATGATTTTTGTGTTGCAGTGTGATATGGTCCCCAAATATCCACATGAATAAGATCAAATAGATGAGAAGAATAAGATTCACTGTGAGAAAAAGGAAGTCTTTGTTGTCTAGCAAGAGGAAAAATTTCACAAAGGAAAGGTTGTCTATTACATGTAGGAACATTCAGACATTCTATTCTCTGCAACTTTGAAAATGGAAGATGTCCCAATCTATGGTGCCACAAAATATGGGACTTATTTACATATATTGTATTTACATGAACAGATATAGGAACGGGAATAAAAGTTGAGGGAGAATATGATTCTGCATTAGAAGAAGTTGAAGAGATTCTGGGATTGATCAAGTAGAGCCCTTCAACCATCTTACCAAGTTCCAATGGCTTCTTCGTAGAAGGGCCCTGTAAGTAACATGCAAATTGTGTAAACAATACTAGAAAAGAAGTATCAATTAAAAGCTTGTGAACTGAAATCATATTATACTTGAAAGTAGGCACATAAAAAACTTTGGACAAAGTAACATGGGAATTGACTTAGACAGTGCCAATAGATGTGACTTTCACTTTATATCCATTAGGTAAAGTGATAAAATATGGGATAGATAGGTTAGTTAAATTGGTGAGTAATGATTTGTTGGAGGTCATGTGATCTGATGCTCCAGAATCTAAAATCCAAGTATCAGAATTCAGCACACTAGTCAGACAAGCACAACTCCTGTAGATTGAGAGAGAATAATAGGCAGGTATACTTGTAAAATTAGCTGCACTAGAGACGGACTGATTCTGATTTTGTGGATCATCAACCTGAACATTTTGAAGAATATTCATGATCTTCTTGTATTGTTCTGGAGTAATTGTATTTGGGGAAAGAGCAGTGTCAGGACCACCATCAGATTTTGATTCAGCAGAAGAATGCACATTAGCAGCAATCCGCACATTCTTATTTCGAAACTTGAAATTTTGAGGAAAACCATGAAGTTTGTAGCATTTTTCTATCACATGCCCATTTTTCTTGCAATACTTGCAAAACAGCTTCTTAGGATCAACATAACCCTTCTAATTATTGGAGTTATGGGTGTTGGACTTCTGAGTAGTAGGATTGTTGAAATTCTGAGTTGTGTGATTGTTGAAATTGTATCTCTGATTAGGATTGACAGATTGTGGTGCTTTTTGATTGTAGCTTGTCCTGACGGAAAATGAGAAAGAGTCATATTGGAAAATAGGCACGTTATGTATACCCCTTTTGTCACGCCCCAAACTTGGGGAGCACGACCGGCGCTCAACCGAGAGAACCCAGCCGAGCAAGCCTGTTAGATTTTCTTCTACCCAAACTCATCCATGAATAAAGAGGAGATGTACTCTATTAATCAACATTGAAAAGATTTCATTAATAACTTCCATATCATTCCCATTAGCAGCTTCATTTATAAATTCCAAAATATTACGAGTTTATAGAATTAATGAAAAATATTATTTCCAAGTACCAACATTTCTAGTTCAATTCCCAACATCAACCATAACCCATAATCTGTCTACGGAGCCTCTACGTACAATAGAAGAGTAATATGGAAATGCCGGCAACAAGACCCCGGCTATACCTCAAAACACGGTACATGAGAAACAAAAGATACATGACCCCAAAATGAAGTGGGGCTCACCAAATCAGCTGAAAAGAGTGTACTGCTATCACTGATCAATGTCTCCTGCTGTGGAACCACCTGCATTCATTTAAAGATGCAGCGCCCCCGGCAAAAGGGACATTAGTACCGTTGAATAGCACTAGTATGTATAACTAAACACCCTCTCAATAGAATGACAAATAATACAAACAAGATTATCATAATATCAATGAAAGCCTTAATCAACATCAAACCTCAATTTAGGATCAAGACAGTGTTCAAATTAATTTCCATATCTCACATTGGGAGATTTTTAGTATCGATATACCATTGTCCACAATACCATTATTCATAATACCAGTACCACCGTACTCTTAGCACGGAGTCCGATCACGACCCGATCGGCTAGGCTATCTCATTAGAGACATCAACCACAATTACTCTCAATATCAATACCATCGTCTTTAACACGGAGTCCGATCATGACCCGATCGTCTAGGCTATCTCCTTAGAGAATCAACCATAATTAATATCAATACCAATACCACCGTAATTTTA